CGTATTCGCGGAACATTTAAGAGCAGAGTGATAAAACAAAAACAATAATCAAAACTTTACAGAAATAAGGGTTGCGATTTGTTGAAGTAAACTTGTAAATGACACCTTCCATGGGGTATAACTTCCAAAAACAAGTAATCGAGTTATTAACAGTGTCATTTACAGGGACAGTTTTTTTCTGTTATATTTTACGTAGTGCTGTAAATATTTTAAAATTTTTGCTTTTCGTAGCACAATAGTTTAAAATTTAATTGATCTTGATCTTAACCGCTGCACGTTTGTTAAATTTATTATTTTTACCTTTCCTTATCATACACTTTTTACTTAGTTTTTTTTTCTACTTTAAATATAGTTTTGGTCCTGGCATTCTGTATAGAATGAATATTGGTCAACTCCGATCAGTTTTGTTTTTCAAAGGTTTAGATTTGGGTTTCTACCGACTTATGTTACAGTACTGAATTACACTTTTCGAAATATAACAAAAAATCAACAACAATTTTTTTTAACTGAAACAATGTGTAAGTAAATTATGATTGCTTATTGCGCAACTGATGACAATTTTTCGCCTTTTGCAATTAGTTTTATCTTGTTGTTCAAGCAGAAAACGTCACCAGTGGTTGTCACTTTCAACAGATCAACAAAGTAATACAAAAAAAAAAATTTGGCAAGAATTTGAAGTTTAATAAACACTTGAAGATTCATAGGATAAAAAACATTTTTACAATATGTTATATTGACTTAGCTCAATTACAGGTATGGTATTGATTACCACTATTGTAATTGTAGCAGTCTTGTTCAGCGGTGTTACCTTAGTTTGTTTGTTAACAACGCTATTCAAAGCAGAAAAAATGGTTCCGATTTACGCCGAAGTCCGTGATGGCAATGTGTACTATAACAGACCTTACACTGAAAGGCCGCACCAGTATTACGTTTCAGTTCCTCCGGAGTATGAAGAAGTAATCGTTGAAAAAACTGCTGACTTAAAGACGCTTCCCGATGACATTCCACCGTTAACGCGTACTCCGTACCCGGCGCCATTATAAACGGAATAAAACTTTCAAAATAACTCGGAACTTGCAAACGACTTACGACCACCATACAGAATCCGAAGTTAATCGTTGATAATTAGCTGTGCTATATCGGAAAGTTGCTTGACACTGGCAATTTCAGTGTTAGGCTGTCCTGACATACAGAAAAAAAAGTGAACAAACGAAACGCTTATCACATAAAGATTACTAATTTCAACTAAAAAAATCTGTTCAGTACGGGAAGTGCAAAAAGCAGTATTTTAGCAAATATATAGACAATTTTAAAAGTTTTAATAAAAAAGGTTTTTTTGAAAAAAATCTTTTTTTTAAAGTAAGAGTCAAGCTTTGCTCTGATTTTTTATCTTAAAGAAGAGTTTGTCGCTCTCTAGTAGATTTATTTTTCGCAGATCACCCGGGTAGATCATTTTTTAGAGGCAACTGGCAGTAAATCATTTACTTTAGTTATAGAAGATGCATCAAACTTTTCCGTTTCACTGCATTTCGTGCGGCGACGGTGTTTTGCATTTTTTCCTCTTGTTTTTTTTGTTTAGTTGGATATGTCTTTAGTTAACTCCTTAGCTACTTATCATAAAATGTGATTGGGTGTCAGTGGCTTTGTAGTTTAGGTGCAATTACAGTAGTCAAACTTGTGGTGTTAGTTCCCTTCTGACATAAACTAGAGCTTACATTGTTCTGATTAACCAATTGTTGTTCGAAACTCTTTGAAGTCTGCCAAAATCGTGTTCATATTTCTTCCCAATTAACTGGTTAGCAAAACAGAATAGTGTTGTTGTATAATTCAAAATGTTTCTGTTTTCTTCTATTGGAATTTCTTCTTAAATACAGAAGCAAAGCAAGTTATATCTTGCATAGGTACGTTGATGATAATGATGATGTAACTGTCACTGCTTTATAGCCTTCGATATTGGTTGAATGTTAATGACCACAAATGTTGCTGGATTTTGCAGTGTTTAATTAAATGAATACAGAACTGTTACCAAAAACTGTATCTTAAGACTCCTATTAATCGAATATTATAAGTCATAACTATAGGTAAAAAAATAATTGTTTTAAACTTCTTTTAAAAACTGTTTGTTCTTGCATGACCATACAAAATATAACTTCTTCTTACCGTTTATTTGCCATACTTCAGCAAGATTTTAATTTTGCAGCAAAGCTGGGTCGGTAAGAAAAAAATTTTTTAATTCATCCTTCATGAAAATTTTTGAGCAGAATTAGCGACAGAACACGTCTCATTGCATCCGAAAGCTGATAAATCAACTGGTGAGAAAATTCCAAGAGGCTGGATGAGACTGCAGATTGCAAAAAATGCCTTCAAATCATATGCAACAATCAAACATTAAAAATGTATCAAAAACTGTTGTGAAGACATGACACCTTATAGTTTGTAAGGTGGATAACTTTAAAAAAATTTTACTTGCAATTAGTTGTAGCAGTTACATCAGTAGACTGTAAGCAAATACCTTTCCTCAAGAATTTATCTTGCCAGTGTTTTTAATTATTTGACTTATGTGTGCTAAAAATAATCAATAGTTTTAGAAAAACTTAGGTGTAAAATTAATTTTATAAATTTTAGAACCATATAAACGATCGAGATCGTCCTGGTCTATTACAAGGCATGAAAAAATCACTTCCAGTTTTTTAAAAAGGATTTAAAACGTTAAAAAAAGAGCTACAGTCTATCTAAATGCATATTCAAAAGTACCTGGTAAAGATGCAAAATATATCAAAATTTCTGAACGTAGATGTTTCAAGCGTTTGTAGTGAAAAAACATTTCCCCTTGGCCTAAGCACAGTCTTATGGTTTACTAAGATAATATAAATATTAATAATCATAACAATATTTTTATAAACATTAATAATAATGAACGAAAGCGTTCATTGAAAAGCAGAAAATTGGGTGTTGGTTAAAGTTTTTCTTTTGTAAAAATCTTAATGGGTGAGACACAGATATGTTTCGAAATTTCTTCCATGTAACAGACAAATGTTAGTGTTCGGGGTTTTGACAGACTGCCTGAAAGACCACCACCGGCGAAGACGGAGGAAAAAGCAGCAGCAGTGCTGCGTTGGCAGTTTTGAAAACGGCGATTTAATTTGTCCATCTCAGTTAGTTGGACTGTCAAATTCACAGAGAAGACATCTTTGCTGCTGGCAGCTAAGCCGAACTATAAAGTTAGACGTTAATTAAATGGAACAACTGATTTGCTCACAATGATGCTTCTTACAGTACGTATAGTCTACGTTGTTGACCACTCAACAAGGTTCAACTTCAGAAAGTTGGTTAAACTTTTATTAAGATCAGAAAATTTTGCTTAGTAGCTATTCACTTTGTCAACATTAGTTATTGATGAAATTATAAGTTTATGATTTGATTTTCACTTTTTTTTTAGCCTCTAGAGATTAAATTGACATTTCTTTTGCGTAGGTCGGTTATTTTATATAACCACGTCGAGTTTTCGGTACCACCTTGTAGTAGTTGAAAAGTGCTAAATAAAAACTAATTATTTCTTAATATACTTACTGTAATCCAGTATCTCTCAAAATTTGAAACTTGATCTTATCATCACTTACTAGATGCTGTCTATACTTAGGGTTTTTGATTCAGGAACATTACAGACTTTGTATTTTTGGGTTGCAGATTAGCAAAATTTACAGTACACGGAGAACTTCACATATTTTTTGCTTAGATCGACTATTTTTCATAAATATACTCAAGTTTTAAGTGAGAAAAAAAGGCTATATTATATGGTCGAAACAAAAAGCTTGTTCAAAAATTCACAATTTTTTTAATTTAATAACTGTACTTTTATATGTGTCAAATTTTAAGCTTTTTTCTTTCTAAATAGGTAATAACAACGCAACAAGTAGCTGCTCTGGTGCCAAAAACTGTGTAAGATTGCTTTGTTAAAAGACGGCAAAAATTAGTTGCTAACAGTAAGTAATTTTGTTCAAAACTGACTGTGGTCGTGTTTTGTCTACAGAATTGAGATTTTTTTAAAGGTGGTTGTTAAAAAAAGAAAAAGAATGTTAGCATAGTGTTATATATATAGAAAAGACCTGCATACTGATGGAGTTGAACGAATATGACACGGTATAATAAGACAAAATAAAAAAAAAAAAAAGAAAGTACAGAACGGTTAAGCAGATTCTTGAAACAGATTTTCAAAAATGACGTGAACATTCTTCAGTAAAAAAAAAAAAAAGAAGAATTTCTTTGCAGCTAGTAAGTTAGCTAGTTTTATGAACTTATCTGCTTTATTGACAGTATCAATTTAAAAACAACAACAGAGCAACAATACTTTTTAGCTAAAACATGTGCTTGATTAAAAGAAGTTTGAATTTCGTTGTATAAATGCTTGGCAGTTGAATTATTAGACCTCAACCCCATACATACGTAAGGTTAGCAAAGATATCAGTTACAAAGACCAGTCAAAAATTTTTCAAATTTCTTTGCTTTTTTTTTTTTTTTCTGCTATAACAACGTTATTGTTTCAGCGTAAAAATGAATCAGATTGCTCGTAAATTTCTAAATTTAAAAACCCATCAATGTTATGGTATTACCAACAAAAAAAAAAAAAAAAAAAAAAAAAAGCTAACAACAACAACAACAGCAACAATGATTATCAGAAAAACATTGAATAAAATCTTTCATCTATCCTCTATTTCCAATGATTAGCATTCCAAGCGTTATCACCTCTTGTTCTTCGTGTTCGTCTTGTCCGTCTTCGTCTTCTCTTCCTCCTTCTTCTTCTTCATCCTCTTAACAGATTATCAGCTGACACAGCTTAAACAGTGTGCCGTTAGTGGGTCGTACACCCAATAGGTTACATAGCGCTCCAAATGTTTTTCGAATTTTTCTTCAGTTCAATGCACATTACTAAATTATAAGCACATTTGCTTCTTCTTCACTGTTTCGTCAGTAATTTGATTTATTTATTTTTTCTTTACTGTTTGTTTTTTTTTTGTCGTTTTTTATAATTTTGCTGACGTTTTTTGACGT